TAGGGTAGCTACTAGGGTGGAGGCCATAGCTACTACAGTGGAGGCCATAGCTACTAGGGTGGAGGCCACGGAGTCTCAACTCCACCAGCGCTCTTTCACTCGCCTGCGCCAGCTCTTCCCGACGCCTCCGGCGGCGCCGCGAGGAGCTCGTGCTGCGGCTGCGCCGGGCCTCGTTGTGATCTCAGGCGACCACCCAGTAGACGCCAGACGCTACAAGGGCCGGATTTGGTGAAACACTCTTAGCTTTGGAGGTGAGGATGAAATGCTTCACATCTTCCAACGACCTGCATTTCGGAACCGTGCCCAGAGAACTTGGTGACCGCTCCCTGACTTGTGGGCTTTCATGGCGGCTACGAGCATAGATGTCCTCCTGACTGAGATGCTTGAGCTGCTTTTGGTGCGGTTCAGGGAATACTTGCGCTTGCAACATGAGAGTGCAGTCATTAAACTTGAACTCCAACATAGTCTACTTCTACACCTCTCTCTCTCTCTCTCCAAGAACTGTGGCTTAGGCGATCAGCTCTTTTTGCACCTTCTCACCCTACATTATGTTTGGATCAGAACCCTGCGCACGGTCATTCTACCATGAATTGGTATTCTGCCACACGACCGGTCGAGGAAATCCTGCACCAGATCCGTGGAACGTGAACGGGCGAACGCCCGGGCGTCACCCTCGTCCTCCTCGCGGCGCGAATCCCGCCGTGAGAGCTCTTCCACCAGGTCACCTGAGCTGAAGCAGGTCCTGCAAATGTTGTTTTGTGAAACTCTACCTTCCAACGATTAGTAAAGAACCAAGGACCTGGTAAATGATACTGATTCCAATACTGGTTCTAGGAACCAATGACTAACTCAGTGATTAGTGTGGAACGCTTCAAGGAAGCTTCCCCCCACCCTCAAACCGCGGGGGAAGCTTCCTTGAAGAACCGTCAGCTACCCGTCCATCAGCCTCAGTAGCTGGTAGCTTCTTCCCTTACTTCATTAAGTAGGCGCCTACTTACTTAAGTAAGGGCGGTCTACAAAACAAAGAAGCAGGTCATAGTTGTCAAACAAATATTGCCCCCTTGAGAATGGGAGGAAAACAAACACAAAAAAGATTGATGCATTGTACTGGCGTCGCACATTGTTTGGTAATTCAAAGCATTCCTCCGAACATTTGCGGAGACTTCTGATTCTGGGAAGCAAAGCGCTAACTTGTGACTGAAGTCATCCAAATACCAACCTCTGGAACATACCTGAAACTGATTGGCAAAACCTGCACACATCTGAGATATGGGTTCCAGCGATGATAGCACATATGTCATATATACACATATAGTATAAATAAACAAACACATAAATAAATATATATATATATGTACATACACAGACTAGATTGTGATAATGTATACAATTCAGTGGTCCTATTTTCTGGTGGACCCTCAGTGGACGCACAAAATTGATCGTCTCACGCCCTTTTGCAAATGGGCGACGAAGCCAGGGAGGCGTGTTGACTTCTTCATAGTAGTAGTTCACCTCAGATGCTCAGCCAGGTCGTCCTCTTTGGACGACAAGAAATGGCACGACCTTGCCTCCATACAAAAATAGCCAGATCACCGACAGACTGTGCCCTTGAGGCTGTTGGATGGCCCATCGGACCCTCCGCCCTCGCTCCTTGAAATAGTCTAGACGCCTTCAGCAAAATCAACATTTCAAACCAAATAGTTTCTCCTGCTATGACTACCACAAGCTACTTGCTGCTTCGTCGCTACGATGGGGATGCAAACGCCCAAAGCAACACCAGAAAGGATAACCACCACAAGGGTCAGGTACATCATATTACCTGTCATCAAGGTATGGAGAACTCGGAGGAAGCACAGTTCTTTATCTTGGCGAGACTAAGAAGATTCATTCAGCACCAAACCAAAAGCATGGCCAGCTGGACTTGAGATTTGGGAGCTGGTGGTCTTCCAAAGGTAGAGCTGATAGAAGCTCCTGCAGAGTCTTCCGGTGCAAAGGGCCGTAACAATTGAGTGACTGAAAGCTCTAAGAGCACAAACAGAAAGATGCAGCAAGATCGGAAAAGGGCAAATGCCCTGCCTGGACAGAACTGTCCCATGTGTTCGAGGTGTCTGCTTTGCCTGTCGTCAAAGCTGTCTAGGCAGGCTCAGTCCCAAAGAGACAAATGTCGGCTCCAAATCAGCTGTTCCCTTCACAGTAAACCTTCCCAACCAAATGGCTAAAGACTGGTGGGAAATTCTTGCATGAACTAAACCTCTACAACAACACAAAAATGATTGGACAAATCTTCACCTCACTTGCAGGAGTTCTTTCTCCAGCATGGTTCGCACTCAACTTGATGTCCACAAGCCTCGGCCTCCAGTGTCCTGTGGCTTTTGTTCCATTCTGGATTTGCCGCAGCATCGACAGTCACCTTTGTGTCATCCAAACTCCGCATATCAAACATGAGATGTGAAATGCTTGTCTTCAATGCTTCGTCGAGACACCTCTGGTGAAGTGGGGCCGTTCGGTTTACCATGGTCGGATGGCATTTGTCCTTTCTTCCATTAACTCAGTTTTGACCATACGGCACTCTTTGATATGTGTATCAAATTCTTAGAAAATGCTGCAGGACAAGAGTATCGAGTCCCTTCTGACCACGCCTGAGCTCTATTCCATCCAGTATTGAAAGGTACCTTCACCCCATCACTGGGTGATTCAGCAGAAAGTGACATGCGTAGCAAATCGAATGAAAGGCTGGTCCAATCCTCACCAGAACGTCAGAAGGTCATTTTTGTGTGACCGTTTACCATCGCACGACCGATGTGCCAAAATGTCTCAACCAAAGCACCAATTCAACATTGGCTGATCCCAATCGATTGATCACATGAGGAGGTTCCTTCCGTATGATGGGCTCGAGGGCGGAGGATTCCTGGTGACAACAACTGCCAACGATTCCAGGGATTCAGCCTTTTCTAGGAAGAATCTGTTTGGCAACAAACTCCTTTGTTTAGTTGATGTGCTCATCAGCATTGGATCAGTATTCATTTCAAGCACCCACGGTCGATGTCTGCCTGTCACCGCACCGTCCTGCAAAGTGAAACTTGACAATGCCACTGACAGCGGGACCAGGACCCTAAGCGCGGAGGGGCTTGAGCTGGCATTTTCCCAACAAACAACTGATTAAGAAATTCATGGTAGCCCATGGTTCCCTGTTTCAAGGAATTTGGATGCCCTAAGTTGAAGTCCACCGGCCAGAACAACCCAGTTCTAGGCGGTAGGTCCGCGGTGCCTTCCACCCCTGAACATCACCCATTCTGTGATGACAGCAAATGGTGGTCGATGCTCTCATCTCGGGCACCAGGCTTCATCACGACGGCCCAGCCATAGCGGGCTAAGTGGATTCGCGAAGATTCCAGAAGAAACAAGGCATCTGCAAACATGAGTTCTGATTCTTCTTTGAGAGTGAACCTGACCCAAGGCCAACATTCCAGGTTGTCAAGAATCAATGCTCGGGGCAAAGGACTGCTTGGCAGTCCTTTGCTACAAGGACGGCCTGATTGAGCTCGAAATTGGTCAAAATAAAATGTGGGCATCGTGTATGCAATAGTATGTGCAAGCGAGTCCATTGCGAATACACCACGGTAATACAAACCAACCCAAGTGAGTTTCAAGCAAAAGGAAGAGAATGCCAAGAAAGAATGAAACTGAGTGAATTTGACAACCAAGCCAAACAACTGCCGAATCAAGAATTCAAGACTAGACGGCGGGTGGCCCGAGACCGAGACATGTGATTGTCCAGCACTGTCGAAAAGATATATAGAAAGAGAGAAAGAAAGGGTGGACGTGAAGGAGTGACAGTGTGGATGCGCAGGTGCGATACAGATGTGTAGATGTATGGAGGTGGAGAGGTAGATCTGTGGATGCGAGCGTGCGAAGATGTAAATGGACAGAGGCGAGAGAAAAAATATGTCTTAGGTTCATAAGAAGCCAGTCTCACTTCAAACGGCTCAAAACAAGTCAGTCCCATTTCCAGAAGAAAACACGGAGTAAAACGTAAGCAGGTCGAAGCGCACACAAATCCTTCATCCCGGTCCCAAAAACAAGCGGCGAGCAGATATCCTGCGAGCAGAGGCTCGAAGCAAGTCAGTCTCACTTCAAGTATCAGACAAACAGAAAGTACGCCGTAAGTGCGCTTCAAGTCATCAGCTCCACTCTCGCAGACAGGCCCTTCAAAGAATGGAGCAGCAGCGGTAATGACCTGCAATGATGTGCGGTCGCGAAGCTGGAGCCAAGCGTTGCATTGTTGCATCGAGTTTCACATCCAGTCACAGTACAGCGCAAGCCGGATGAAGCGCCCATACAGTACATTTATGCCCAAAAACATGATTTCCAAAATAATGATTTAGTAACGAATCTGGGTGCCTCTCTGTCAGATTCGCTGCAGTCTCCTCCTCGGCCTCAAGTACGGTGCCTTCTTACTGTCAAGGTGAACACAATATGAAAGGCAAAACCTTGGGAGCAACATATCTGTTGCAGTCATCACTACCTCTCGCTGCTCCCGGTACTCCAGCTGTTCCACAGCTCGGCTCCCCAGCAGCTTCTTCAAGCTGATAGTCAGTTTATGACCACCTGGCACCAAGTTCGTAAGAAGTCAGCGTCACTTCAAGTATCCAACAAAAGAGCTTAAAACGTAAGGAGGACGAAGCGCACACAAAACGCTTATGCGTGCGCTTCATTCTGGTCACAACAAAAAGTACTTTTCATTGCAAAGACAATACTGGTTTGGACTATATCCCGCGAGAAATTTATGCGCGCTTCATCCTGGTCCTAACAACAATGATTTCCATCGCAAAGAAGAAATTAGTTTTCACCATCTCCCGTGAGAAGCGGCTCCACACATCCAGCCGCATCTGTCTCCGCCTCAGCCCGCTCCAGATCGGTCAAACCAAGAAGCCCGGTACCTACATGCCGTGAAAGAAGCATATGACGTCAGATTGCTCTGAAGGCATATCTGTTGCAGTCATCAATAAATCATGATGTTTCCGATACTCCAGCTGTTCCACAGCTCGCCTCCCCAGCAGCTTCTTCAAGCTGACAGTCAGCTTATGATCACCTGGCACCAGGTTCTTCAGAAGTCAGTCTCACTTCAAGTATCACAAAAACCCTTCCAATGTAAGCAGGACGAAGCGCATACAAAACGCATTTATGTGCACTTCGTTCTGGTCCCAAAAAAACTTTGCTTTTCATTGCAAAGAAATTATTGGTTTCGACTGATTCGCAGCAGTGTCCTCCCAGGCCTCAAGTACGGCGCCAACTTCCTGTCAAGGTCAATACAACGCGAAACCTCCGGACTGAAGGCACATCTATTGCGGTCCTCACTACCTGTCGCTGCTCCCGCTACTCCAGCTGCTCCACACCTCGCCCCCCCACCAGGTTCTGAAGGCAGATAGTCAGGTTATGATCACCTGTTTTCAGGTTCGTAAGAAGTCAGCGTCACTTGAAGTATCCAACCAAAGAGCTAAAAAGATACCCAGGACGAAGCGCACACCAAAAATCGTATCCATGAAGCGAGTCGCATGGGTGCGGCCATGCGGTCTCGTGAAGGGATGACGTCCGGGTGACTGAGCTTCAAGTCCACGAGGCTGACTTTACCAAGGGGAAGGCGGCTGTGCAGCCAGTGCCAGTATTTGTGCTTGCTGCTGCCCATCCATCGAGCAGATTCAGTGACATATGTGATGTGGAGGCTTTGCTGTAGCCTTTGTAGTTCAGACTCATCTTCTTTTTTTTCACGAGTACGGACGCCGTGTGGGCATGGTGCCCAGGTCATCGTTGAAGGGAGGGAAAAACAGTCTGATGGTGGAGAAAAGAACAAGGACCACAAACACAACCCAAAAACCACAACAAAAGGCCCACAGGCCGAGTCTCCACCATCATGTAGTCTTTCCTCTGTGCTAGGTGAAACAGGTGAGACGAAAAAGAGTGTCTAGAAAGGGGCCTGACTTCACGAACGAAAAGCATATCGGCGCAGGTCTGTGCTCAAGCAAAGTCGCAAAAAGGCTTCAAAGGGACCTCACTTCACAACTATGAGTGACCAGCGGCCACACCCCAGTGCGGCAAAATCATGGTCACGATGCAGGTCAACACCCCAGTGCGGAGTATCGCAATGCTTCAACGTCGACTGCATCCCTGGCAAGTGGGGTGGCGTAGCTATGCGGCATGCCGTGGAAAAGATCTTTCTTGTGGCACAACCCGTTCAACCGGTTGCACCTACAAGTCCAGTGGCATGCTACCAATCGGCGATCAATAAGTGGCGGCCATAATCGACGAAAGCCTGCAGGTAATGGTGCGAAAAGGCCCCCCCCGAAGGGAGGTCAGCTCAGCGCCCTTTGGCACTCAAAGGTGCCAAATAGCAAACAGAGTGGGGTGTCTTCTTGGTCTATGAAGCGCTGCACCATTGCAAAAGGTGATCGGCTGCATGCAAGGCCGGTGTGAAACAGGTGAAACAGGTGAAACTTTGGACAGTCCTAGCATGGTATCTGTACCTCTTTGTACAAAATTGGAAATGTCGGACATCAACAAAGGGAACTAAGGTTCCCCCTGGGCATCCTCCATTGCCACTCTCTACCACCCGCCTGTTAGGAACGAAGAGCTAAGGCTCTCACTCCTATTGGCTCACAGCATTGCGAATGGCGAGAAGAGGTTGTTTAGTGCTTGCGCATCTTGCTTGCCGTACTCCACTGTCGGTTAGCTTGTCCCCCATTCCAGCCACAGGATTGCCGGCTCTGTCAGGTCTGAGCAGTTTTCTTCCCTGTGACTACTGGCATCTGTCGACAGCTCTCAGCATTGCCTGGACTAGACGGGTTATCCAGTTTGTTCAGGGACACTGGTATTTGGCAATGTGCAGTTTATTTTCTTTTGCTTGCCCCTAGCTCTAGGTGCAGGCGTCTCGCCATGATACTCATGAGTGGAACCTCCTATGGAAGGGTACAATTGCAATGTTTCTCAGCTCCCCTATGGAATTTGTCCGGGTGTGATTTTTGGCCTACCTTGGACTCACGCTAAGGCGCGTGCCCAGACTCTTAACGAGTAACTGCGATACAGCGCTTGCTGCAGCCAAAAAGGCTTGTTTTCATCCAAGACCAGGGGTGTACCCCATGTCCGGGATCATGTGCAGCCAGGGTGGCCATCGCATAGCAGGACAAATGGCGAAAGCATTCTCTTCAGCGTAGACTCCTCGCCACTTATGCCTTCCTGGCATCTTGGCAAGCCTGCTAAAGACAGTGCAATCTAGGAAGGCCCTACTTCCTGTGTACCTCAGCGAGGGCGGAATGGCAAGCTCAACTAGGGCTGCACAGTTCATGAAGGCTTTGACTCGGATTGCATGGAGAGTTGTCGGAAGGAGGACTTCTCTGAGACTGGTGCAGTGCACAAAGGCGAATTCCGGAATTTCCTTGACATTGGTGTCGCAAAGGTCTACACTCTTAAGCAGTCGGCAACTGTCGCATGCGTGCGCTCCGATAGCTACAAAATGCATTGGGAGAGCAAGTGCGGTGATTCCCGTAGAGCTAAGACAGCCCGGCGTCAACTCACTGGTCCTAGCTTGCAGTACTGACTCTCGGGGGGATGGAAGCTCACTTAAGGTAACCTCAGCAAGGTTGATACACCCTTGAAAGAGGTATTGTCCTAACTTGGCTTCGCTATTGAACACATTTGCAATCCCTTCCGATGCATACACCCATTGCAAGGAACAACATTCCGCAAAGGCTTTATACCCAAAGTCCCGGCAACCCGGAGCCAAGACGCTGTTTAGTAGTTTGCAGTCGCGGAAGACGTTATCGGAAATGCCTACCACTGTGGCAGGCAGTTTGACGATGCGGAGCTGCCTGCAGTTTTGCCAAGCCTCTGCTTCAATGAACCTGATGCCTGACTCTACACTGGCGTGTCTCAGGCGTGGAACCCCTGCAAAGGCCCCTTCTGGGACAATTCCCTCTGGGTTCATGGGGACATGAACTGCTAGCGGAATGTGATGGATAGGGCAATCCTCAAGTTCTGCTTGAGATGGCAGGATAACACTGCAGTTCCGAAAAACGATAGTGTATTCCGCGCCTTGCTGTAGCTTGTCCCAGATTGGGT